CTGCGGACACTTTTCGGCCGACCTAATAATATTCGTCAGCTCGCCTGAAGATTGAGCACTTTGGCACCTGTGTAGTACTGTCATCATTTTTATAATGGAAACTCGCACACGTTTACTGAGTATTCGTGCTCGCAGCTCCAACGCTGCATCATTTGATACAGCAGTGTGCGAGGACGTAACATTGAATGATTTGACGACAACATCTTGAGGGTTGTTCTCGACAATTTGTCATAGCATAGGATAATTCTGAGGAACCATGAATTCTATACGTGGGCCCACCCACACTGCTAATGATTAGCTTAACCTTATACACCACGGTGTCCTTTAAACTCATAATTAGTTAAGAGTCACTAAGCTTGTGCATCTTAACACGTTGACGACAGCGCAGGACACATACGTCCCGCACTTTGCAGGCCATGACGGACAGCGCGGGACGTATGTGTCCTGCACCCATTACACTCATTTTTTTCGCGCACGCGTGATTCTTTTTTAAGTTTCTTGTATTTATTCCATAGAGAAAACCTTGGTATAGATACAAACATAGTGGCTCATAGAATGGTCACGTATGCTTCAATTTAGAGGAGGATTTCTGAACCATACGAAATCTTCAGCCTAATAAATTTTTCGTTTACATTTTCTTTTCATGAATGTGAATATTTAAATAGTAGTAGAAGTCAATACGGAACCTCAAGGATGACAAGATATGTGTTTGATTGCAATAATCAATGCAAAATTGCTTTTGACGTTCATTGCAGCTGATTCTGACAAATTTTGCTTTTTCTTATCTTATCTCAAGCATTTCGATCGAGATTTCACTACTGTAATTCTGGGGCGCTTCTCCATACTGAAGTTTACTAATCTAACTTTGTATCAATCATATTTTATGCATTTATCACGCAAAATTCGCTTGAAGGACCTGAGGCGGCGGCGCTCGCAAAATCGCGCCGGTCCCACGTGGCCAAAAAGCCAAAACTCGCGTTGTCGTCAACGTGTTAATTGCTCACGCACTCTGGAAACTCTCCACCCTGTCCTAGCATCTTCGGTCCCTTTT